CCCTACAGCTCTATTCATCTCAGCCAATGGTAAGTGATGGCGTTCCATGTTAAAGCACAATATTTCCAGTTTAATTGCTGAGCAAGAACTGCATAGAATGTACAAACTCGACACTTTCAGATTATTCATTTTAGCCGAAAACCTACAGTTTGTAAAAAACTTGATAAAAGATTAGTTACCGTTTTTGCAGGCTTTGTTCAACCCATAGAAATCTGAAGGGTTGTCGAGTGTACCAATTTAATCGAAATTAAACGACCTCATGCATTTATTTTTATGATATTTAGTATGTTATAAAAATATCCCTAGACTTTTCCGATGTGTGTATTTTCATCCCCCATGATTTATAGATATTGTCAATACATTTTAACTGCGATATTAATTTTGATCCACTGAAGACCATATTATCCAAAATTGAAAAACCATCATCTAGCTTACTGTCTTCATTTCAAGTTATTTACAAATAACAGTTAATTAAGATGTCATCTTGTTTTCTTAATTCAATCAATCGATCATATATGTGCATATATTTCTTAATTTGTAAAATCCTCGTGGGAACACGTGGGAAACAAACACAAAAACAGGAAGAACAAAAACAAAAACCAATCCCGAGGCTGGACAGAAGTGCTCACCTCAATCTAAGGTAGTGGCTGGGGATGAACAGAAATGTCCACCCCAATCTACCGCTTGGAATGAGGCTTGATATAGCAGATCACCTCGTGATGTTATACAAAGACCAGCAACAATAAGTGCACCCTCCTCCTCCCCCACTCCACCTCCAACAGCAAGCTAACTTCCTGCGGTGGGCGTCAAGAGCTCCGCCTTAAATAAAGCAAGGAACCGGCTGCCCCTGCAGGAAAGCTCCCTCATTTGTGCACCTCCACGGAGGGAACCCCAAGAAGGTTGAAGAAGCCGCGCAACGACAGTAATGTCGCTGCACCTTCCAAAAACATCGCGGGGGCAACCGTGAGAAACTTCAAGGTTGCCAGAGCGTGTGTCTTCAGCGAGTCTTGGCCTACACCTGCCAATATAAAAGGAGATGTCTCCTAGTGACCTGTTCACCTTCCTGTAAAGGACAGGATGGACGATGACCTAGGAGAACAACTCCTCGGGAGGATGTAGAATGGGTCACATATGGCATAAGTGCTGTGGGTCTACACTCATCCTCCCTACTCTACAGATACAGAGATGGATTCATCTGTTGGGCAATAAATTTTCAAAATATAATTTAATTTAAATTTAATTTAACTTGTTTTTAAACCTGACCTTGACATTTCCTGTGTCCTGTGATGATCGTTTTGCAATGAAAGTATTATTATTATAAATTCTTTGATCCATTTCTTTCAATAACAGAAAATCGCCGAAATTGCAAAGTACTTTCAACTTTTAGGCCTCTCACCAACAAACTGAACATACCAAACAGCTGAAACTGTGAACATGAGTTCGAGACGAGTTTACCAACATAAAAAAGTCACTAATTGAATGTAAGTAGCCCGCGAAATTTGAAAATTCACCTAATGTTTTTACAGACCCGTATTTTCACCTCGTATCACACGTCCTCAGCTCGCACAAGTTTCAACTTTTGAGAGTTGTCGTTCGTTAGGGGGGTGACACAGCTAGTTAACGGAAAAACATATTTTTTTAAAAGATAACAACACTTATGTGTATTCCTTTACATACCTTCCCTATCCTCTGCAAAAACGTGGACCAATGAGGTTCGATAACTTCCACCATCATGTGGTACTCCAGATTTTGTATGCAATGCAACATTCTCTGTCTCAGAGCGAACGCTATCCTGTAATGTTTGGCGTCTTCGAAATGAAATTTCTTCGCCACCTTGTTGGACTTCCACACTTGGCAAATCATCCTTTCTATGTATTTGCAGTAGAAAAGATGACGGAAAATCATTTGATAACAAGCCAAGGATTTTCTGTTCAATATGAGAGAGAGTGGCCAGTGTACTTCGTAACTGAACGAGAAAGATTCTATCATTAGTGGTTTTTTGGATCCGCTGTTTGACCAGTAGTCTGAAAAATGGATGCCGTTACTATCGTCGTATTATTCTTTTAAAATTATTTTCAATTCAGGTTGGGAGGTTAAAAAAAAATGAAAACTATTGTACAGGGATGTTCCAAATAGATCATCTACTGGGGATCTGATAAATAGTAACAGAGCCTGTTATACAGGCTGATTCACGGTGGATGGCACATTAGACGTTTCTGGTGAACCAGACAACGGATCACTTTGAAAATTTAATGGAGGGCATATTCGGACATTCTCTAGCCAACTAAAATATTTTCAACAATGCGGTGTTGCCGCTTGTATTAGAAAGCAGTAGCAACTTTGATTTTTCAAATGGAACACTCTGTTTCATTCACAATGCAATTGGATATCTAATCAAACCTTGTCTCAAGACATTCACAAGGTTCACTACTGTCAGTATTTCTAGACCAAAATTATTTTGAATTCAATAACACGATGTACAGAGTGGGCTAAATTGGAGACCTTTAAAGGGAAACTTCTGTTTTCAAACTAGATAGATGGACGCATATCGTATCTATCATAGTTACCAGATACTACAGAACATTTTGGACTCTATATTTATCATCAGCAGACATCCAAGTTCAAAAAATATGTAAAAAAACTTCACTGGCTGAAATAGTTAAAATTTATAAACTGTTGTAATCATAACAAATAAAATATCTCCCAAGCATGTGAACAGCTCCTTATAGTGCAACTAAAGCTGCTTTTACCTTGCTCTGATCTTGTCTGAATGCTGAGAATTTTGAACATCTGGAACTGCAAATCGTACTGAAGCAACTCAGTCCTCAAATCTTCCTTGTACGGATCGCTAATCGCGCTAGATAACCTCAAAGCTAAATCCATCAGGGATTCTATGCTGCCTTGGTTAACGTCTATGGAAAATTTCCCAAGCTCCTTCTCGCACAACGTCAAGAACGTTACTATAAAGTCTCCCTTCTCCAACAGGAAATAGTATTTGACGGACTTCAGTCTCCCAATGAGATCCTTTTCTTTGACGACTAGATTCAAGAGAGTTTGACTTGCGAACATGTACGCTTTTTCTATGGCTTCGATGTAATGTTTCTCCTCTATTTTGTACTGGATCGGGAGGACTTTATTTTTGACTGGCTTGCCTGAAAATCGACTTGAGATTTAACGAAAAACGACTAGGATTTAAAAAAAATAAAGTTCAACAGTTATTTTTTCCAACTCGTATTTTAGAACTAAGTGAATTATGAAGTCAAAAGTAAAAGTTTTTTCCTGACCGCATTGCCTAATGACATTCAGATATTTTCCAGCCTTGAGTATTATATCGGCAACAGACTCGAGGAACTTGGGAATTCTCTCTCTTCGTACAGCATATTTTTTCTCCCAGTAGTCGGCGGAATAGTCGACAGGCATGTCTTCTCTCTGAACAACTTCGTTATCTTCGACCAGGAACTGAAAAGTAAATATTTTTTTCCAACATCTTCAGATTTTTTAGTAGAAACAAATAGTCACAGTTGAATAACCAAACATTTTATGAAAAACTTTAAATATATATTCGTAATAGCATCCATTGACTACTCTCATTCTATTTAGGCACTCAACAAAAAACTCACAGCGCTAGGGCTGTTTATAGATTTTTCTAAGGCATTTGAGTGTGTAAATCATGACATCCTCCTATACAGGGTGTAACTGACTAAGTGTAAAACATTAAAGGAGGTGATTCCTCATCGAAAAAAAGATAGGATCTTTCATATAAAGAAACTTC